CCCAGGGAATTCAGTGTGCCTTTAAGCATTTTAAATTCATGCAACTATAACCCTTAGTTTAGTACAGGGTAACTCATCCGGAAGCTTCCAGAACATGTGTGATATTATCACATATGCCCCTCCCATGTGCCTTGGTTTTGATGTACTGTCGCACTGTGACTTAAGAATGACTTGTATTACCTCCCGGCCTCATACATATACCTCATGATAAATAAATTATCTTAGCATTAGCCTGCAGGGCTACAAGCTATCTGAATCAATCAACTGGAAGGCTAGCTTTGATGCTAGTCAGACAGCTGTAGAGTGGACGTTATGCCACACCACAATACTCCAATCCCCTCCCTCCTTGTGAAGGGAAATTAAGAAGGTAGTTAATCAAAAGTTCATTAGCATACAGCGCCTTGCTCAGTCCACCCCTATACCCTGCTCATAATAGACACTTAAGCAGGCCATGTGAGGAGAATAACAAGTCTGTACCACTTCTGGTTGTGGACTTGTTTGAATTAAAAGACTGCATTGTCCCCTATGTGCCAAATGAGTTTTCTGACTCCAGGACCAGCAAAACCTATTTGGAATCCATAGCACAATTTCTAAATTACTAAGACCAAGAATTTTAGAAAAAACACTTTTTTTCTACAAATAAAATACAATAAAACCATAAAATCTCACTAAAGCTTTACTTTATATTTTCACAAGTAGTCTGCTCTATGTCAATAAGCTGACCAAGTTCTCAACTACAAAAAAACTTAATATTACATTTCACATTATATTTCCTGTGGCCAGAACAAATTCACATTGTGCCAGTTTGCTTACACTTTTGCAACATGAACTTCTATTAATTCATTTTTTACAAGATGTTGAGGTTGCTCAAAAAGTTTAGTGATAACATTTAGCTGTTGCATACACTTAGATGCTGTATCAGAAGCAGAAGACAATCCCTGTAGTATTCCCTGCTTCTCATGTTACAATGATGATTCCAAGGTGTCCTTTCACAGCGCTACTCTTCTCCAACATTCACCTTCTAGGTTCTAAATTCTTCCCTATTTAACAGAACTGAATTTTTACACCTCTCCCTTGCCACTTTCTAATGCAGTCTCATACTGAGAAAACAGCCGCACACGCTGACAGGCAAATCACTGCTAACCCAGGGCGACTGAAATAAATGTATGAGAAGGTTACAGCCTAATTAAAAGGGCACTGGGCTGAATCTATTGAGGATCATATTGCCTGTATATGTCACAGAAATGGAAGTTGAAGTAAAAGGTCTGACCTTGTCATCTGGCCAATTGTGTTTGTTTATCTGTTTGCTTTTCCTTGATGTAACCTGGATACATTCGCTGACCGCACACATTTGTTTTGACCCTGTTTCACACTTATTGAATAATGTATTGCTCACCACCAAGCAGCTCCACTGGAGCACGGCTAGCATTAGTTCCTCAGATGTAATGCACCGTAGGCTTTGGCGGTAAGCAGGCTAGCTGGCTGCTAACAGCCCAGTGTTCCTCTCTGTGGCCCAGGAGTTTTATAGCCCATAAAATATTAATTCAAAGCAAAGTCTAAAGAATAGTGAATGCAGTTAAACACCTATGACTGGCAGCTGAGAACATGATTTATAGCTGTAAGTAGTTCTGGTTATGTTTATATGTTTGTGTGTGTGTGTGTGTGTGTGTGTGTGTGTTGTGTGTGGTGTGTGTGTGTGGTGTGGTGTGTGTGTGTGTGTGTGTGTGTGTGTGCATGAAGTGTATGTGGTCCAGGGTCCTAACCCTAACCCTAATCCATGAACACCTGTATACATTTGTGTTTGCTACATCCATCTATATGTATGTGTACAAAGTTGCACCATCGTCATTTTAGTATGTTGTAGTATCTATTTGTTTTGTAAAGCTGCAACCTTTACATAGTTTTCTGTGGTGAGAGTTCTAGTCGATATTGCACTTGGCCTGGAATATGATCATAGTCGGCAATATCTCTGCAGGCACAGACGTGTCCCCAGCTTACTGTCGATAAGTCCATCAATGCTCCACAGTGCCTGCCATGCCGCCGGAAACACCTGTCAGCATTTAGTAAGAGGGGAACAAAAAGAGGGCAAATGTAAGCACTGACTTTCAAAAGTCAGGGTAAAAGAAAAGTACCTTGACTACAACTTCATTATCAGCACCATCACCATCTGGATTTGCAAAGTCAGACGGCAACAACCTTAATAAAAAATCATTGAGATGATTCTTTCTGTTCTCTGGTTTACAATCTAGTGCTAAACGTTTATTACAGCTGTGTTTAAATATCCTTAGATGTAACTTTTTAATGAGTTTATGTGATTATGTGATTTCTGTGAAGTGCAGAAAATATATTAGATTCTCTGACTTTCGTTGGCATGTTGGCTTTCTAGCTGTTGTTAATGATGCTAATTACCTTCATGTACTACACTTTGTTTATTCCGAACAAACTGCTCTTGCCTCTGCGGGCAATGTGAAACATATCTTTTATCTTGCACATACCAATTTTCTCTGTGAATAGTCTGCGATGCTCTGGCTGACTGAGGCAGCAAATAGAAAACCTTTCATAGACTGTATGAATGTATGAGTAGGACTGCTATTGTATTATATCAAAGGCCAATGAAGAGCAACTGAGCATACATTTTAATAGTCACAAATTATTACTTAAATATATAATAATAGGAAATTGGAATTGTCCTTTTCATTTAGTGAACATTATTACCCACGGGATGAAAATCATCTAATTGATTTTGTCATAATCAATGTCAGTGGAGCTCTCTGTTGTTCTTGCTGGTCTGTATTTAGTCATTTGATTGGCAGTTCATCCATGACTCCATCCTTCTCGACTCCGAGGGCCCGAAATGGTCAGTCGGACAAATTACATCCTTTTAACCCAGCTGTCAATCAGACACTTAGTGGACTGAACCCCTGGGGGGTGTATTTCTGTGTTTAGGGTTCATATTAGAGTGACAAAGCCTCAGACAGTAGCTGGACTGTTGGACTTTTCTGACCCACACATACATGCACACTTAGAATAAGTCAATAATGTGAAACACAAAACCTGTATTATCTACTATATATTGTGCAGTATCTCACACAAATCAACACACATTTCAATTGATTGAACAGTAAGCCTGATGTCAGACAATTCCCTGGCCTCCTTCGTCAGATTAACACACCTTCAGACACCTACCATCAATATTCATAGTAACACCATTGCATTAACCATTACAGTTCTGGCTTGCTCACTCTCTTGAAGGGGATTTGCAGTAGGCATTTACTCTTTGAAACACAAGAGATGCTCACACAAGAGCCAGATATTCAGTAGGAGGAATATTGACAGGGACGAGGAAGGGCAGTGGTCATCCAAAAGGTCAACGCCAACAAAAGACAGGACAAGAGAGGAATCCAAACACCAAACCTGTCCAGTTCCGTAGAAAAATAAATTTCAAGTAGCCCCTTAGTGTAGTGTAGTGTAGTGTAGAACCTGGCAAGGTAGACTGTACAGTAGGAAAAAATCCTGGCAATCACTACCAACAAGCCTCCCAGCATTCCTCCATGAGGGGCAGCACTTGAATGGCAGCAATTTATTCAGTACTGTTAAAAATAAAAATGAAAAGAAAGATATACGGGTTGAATAAAAAAGAGCATAAGAACTACAATGGGCAGTTCCCATAGGTACTATTGATCTGTGGCTGCATCACACACACACACACACAAACACTCAGGCTGGTTGCCAAAAAGCATTCTGGTGGTCAAATATGTATAATTGATAGAGTTGAGTTTGACACAGCGCTGTAATGTAATCTGGGACTAGAGTCCCTATGGTGTTATGGTGTGTGTGTGTGAGAGAGATTGAAGAGGGAGGTAGGGGGGTTGAGTCAGGGTGAGGGAGTGTAGTGGTTTGCAAGAAGAAGGGACAGGGATTTGCTGTGGGGACTCAGTGTAAATTTGATGTATTGGACGGCTGTATTTTTCCTACCTGTACCAACCCCACGGGTTACACATGTAGGAACAATGGCTTTCTCTATTGTAATGGGCTTTTACCAGGAGGGACCACTTTCTCATTCACACACACTCTGTTTGAGAAAGTGGTCTTTCTCACCTCATTCACTTACACTGGTGTACACTCAAAAACATTTTTTTATTGAATAAGGTTTCACATTTGAAAGAAAACACAGAACTATATATTGGTAGTCTGCATTCTGTCTGTATGTGTTTTCAGTTGTAGATTTGTTGTGTTTGTGTGTGCTGAAGTGATTAATTGTTTAATTGTATAGAACAATTTAAATAATCTATTAATTAATTAATTGTACTATGTCATTTATCAATTTGTCATTCACTGTTTTAATCTTTTTGATTGCAAGCATATAATGATTTTCTTAGTTTTATATCATTTTATTCTGAAAACCTTTGGCTTGTCAGTTGAATGTTAGTCAGTCAAATCAAGTAATTTGAAGATATCACTTTGATCTCTTGAGATGTGCATCTTTTACAATTCTTTGACATTTTATTGACCTTAGTTGTTCATCAGACAATTACAAAAAATTGCTTGTGTGTTTCATGTCTGACTTTTGAGTGTATTTTCCTGTCTGTGATTCATGTCTTTTTTTGGTTTGTGTACATTGTGTGTGTATGTGTGAGTGTGTATGTTTATTCCTTGCTTTGTGTTGCCTGACAGTGTTCCTGCTTCTTTGTTCCTCTGTCACTGTGTGTCTAGTTTAATTGCCGGCCTTTGAGGGGGAATCGATTTGAGCAACAAGATAACTAAGTTATCAAACTGTTTCATTGACTGGCTGTCCCTTCTCTCTCTATCTTTTGCCTCCTCCCTATTTTTTCTCTCATTTTACTCTCCGTCTTCATTCTCTATCCCTCTTTGCTCTTTTTTTCTTCCATCCATTTCTCCCAACTTTCTCATCTGCTGTCCATTATCCTTTCCCTTCCCGGCCTTCCCCCACCGTGCTCTCTCTCTTGCTGTTTCTCACCTCCTCAACCCCCTCACAACAGGCCGACAGACCTGTCCGCCGGAGAAGTTTGATTGCGGTGGGGCTGCCAGCAAATGTGTTTCGTTGTCATGGCGATGCGATGGAGAGAGGGACTGTGAGAACGGAGCAGATGAGGAGCAGTGCGCTGCAGGTACGTTTGTGGTGGGTGGCAGAAATGTGGAATGGAGGGGGACCGGAAAAAAACAGTATCTACTTTGAGCTTCATTTGACCTCAAATGTAGTTTACTGTCACTCAGGGAAGAAGTCTGAAGTCTAAATAGGCTACATTTAAGGCTGCACAATGCACCAGGGGTTGCTTATTAAAGAACATAGCTGCCTTTTTTTTATTTGATGGACTTCATTACCCAGAAATAATTGAATTAATTAATAAACCGTGTAAATTTCATGTCATTATTGGCTGTTTACAACAGAGGTGATGAAGAAAATTGTTTTGCAGTGGGTTTAATGTGTGAATTCAGTGTTATCAGTTTAGAATGCCCATTTGTTGCCATTTGTTTATTGCATGCCATTTCTTCAAATGTGCAGTACATACTCGTACTGTAATCCTGTGCAAACTGGAGGAAAAGTGACCTGAAAAGCTTAAAATCCCATATGATAATATTTTTCAGCACCTAAATTGAAATCTAAAATAATACTTTCAAAATGTCAAACCTGGGGATATTTGGCTTTTACCCGATATGAGGTACGCAAAGCGTAGAAGTATTCTTTGCGCTTTCTAGTCTGTCACCTGGGTCGCCGCACCTTTTAAGGTTCAGGTCCAAAGGAGTATTTTTAACTCGGCATCATAACTGCCACAAAAGTAAAATTTTCATTTCTTCATTTATTTATATATTTTTTCTGTGTTATGTGTCTAGAGATGTCAAACATGATCTGTTTTTCCTGCCTGCAATCTTGTCCTTGTTCTGGGCTGTTGCTCAATGTGCTGGAAATGGGGAAAAGCAGGTCACTCGCAGACTGGGAGAGCTGGGCCAATGGTGTTATACAGAGGGGGAAACCAGTCATGTATCTTTCAATTGTATCTTTAAAGCAATGTCCTCTACACCAGTCTGTCCTATGTTTACATAGATGGACTGACATTCAAAAGCATACACGAAGGCACCAAGGCAAACACAGTCTTTTTTTGTAGATGAAGTTACAGAGTACAATGCTCAGTGCGTCATTCACAGTGTGCAAAGGGCGTTGTGGCACACTTTTAGTCATCATAGTACACACACAGTGTACAAATGGTTGTAAGAATGTTAGGAATAACAATACTTATATAAATAATGGTGTGGTGTGTCTGGGGTTGGTTAATGGCTGGCGAATAGATTGTGGTACCATTTGAATCATATTTGCTCTTGTTATCCCCTTTAAAAACCAGTGCTATACTACCATGCACACAAATAAACATGGAACCCATAGACTCTTTCCTAAACACTAATTCTCATACACACAAACACATATGTATTGTGCATTCAGGGATAGCCGCTATCAGGATAAGACATGACTAAAGAAAAATCTAATTTACACAGATTTAAGTTGTAAAATACAGCACAGATACAGATATGTTTCAACTAAATGGTTGAAAAAAGGTGGTTGGTAGAACATATTTCTATCTTAGTTTCAATCATTCTGCAAGATTGGGTGTCTTATTTCAAGGTTATCTCAAATGCTCTTACATAAGGCTTAGCTTGCTTTATAGGAAACGTATAGAGAATCTTTGTGAACAAACCACAGACAGTCACATCACATTATCTAGCCTACATCTTCACGGATGGCATCAAAGCTAAAAGGGGGCATTGATTTTCATCAGCATAAACATCTGGCCTATACAGCGTTTATTGATTTTTAACCTGGAACATACACTCAAACAGACGCATGCACACACAGCATTTTATTTTTAAGAATATAGATTGCATGTGATATTTTCAGTTACTAAACCTGTGTTCTGGTAGATAGAAAAAGAAACCACTTTAAATGTATATGGAGAGACATTTTTTGTATAACCTTCTGTGTGTGGGTGTCTTTTATGAGAGCAAGTATGACTTTCAAAGCTCTGGAGTAATTACATGTGGAGTAAAGGTAAAGTCATTCTGGCCAGTTGTCGTCACTTGTACAAGGGCTACATTTGGTGTAAAGAAGAGATTGAATGTAGCAGGGGCCAGTCCACATAAGAGTAGAACTACAAGCTTATGCGTATATGAGTGTGTCTGATGCATTTCTGTCTCCATAATGTTGCCAGCATCCCTCAGGCACTGTGACATTCATACATTCTCATGCTGAAAGTGCAAATTGCATGTATGCACACTGGAAAGATGTGCATGTATAATTAAGGACACACACACACACAAACATATACAATGTAAGATTGCTTCTGGATACTGTTAAAGTCTCTCCATATCTCCCTTATGTGCACAATCAAAGATGTGTAAAACTAAGTGTGTCTACCATTTTTAATGAACTTAACTCATTCCAGAGGCAATTTGGATAAGATTATCTTAAACTTTTAATTAATTTTAATTTCAAGTTGTGCAATCTCATTAGTTTGAATATCCAGAGGGCATCATAGTAATCTAACAGAAAATATCTACAAAAAACACCCACATATATTTAAATACTATTATTAAGCTATGCCTATTTATTGTAATATGCTGCATTCAAGCCATGAATAGTAGCTAACCATCAAAAGCTCACCACACCAGTCACAGGGGTCCATTGTAAACACATTGCATGCCCACTCTGTGCTGTTAAAGGTCAGTTTTCTCTTCACTTTCAATTATCCCTTATTTCCATTGACGCTTCCTGTGATTTGCAAAGTCTAACATACAATGGAGATAGAAATAAATAAGGCAGATTTGGCACACGTCAGACATGTCAGGAGTTTGAAACATTAGCATTACCTGTTTGCAGTATTTTGCCAGAAATTCACATAATACGATCAGCTTTACCGCTGTGGAACACCAACACCCTGCCCGATAATAAACAGCCCTTGAAAGCTCCAGTTTTGCTAATACACTTTTTTTTGACATTCAGAAGATTATTCCCTCCTCCTCCGTTGGTTGTTGTTGGGAGGGTGTGTTAGCATTGGGTTGTAGTGGTATTTCCACAATTTACAATCAACTATATCTACTCAAACGGATTTCACCTCAAGCTACAATGCTCTGCTTGTAGCAAGATAGATGATTAGATAGATAATAGATAGATAGATAGAGGTAGAATAGTAGATAGATGGATAGGATGGATAGATTAGATAGATAGATTGATGATAGACTGATAGATGATAGATTAACGTCCACGCTTGCTTCTGTTTCCCAGCGGAGGAAATAACGTGATGGGATACCTGGAAAAAGTTACCGTGGAGTATATGGACGGGTCGACGGTGACCGCTCGATGTCAGGGGTGCAGAACCTTTTACCACAGACGTGCCCGGGGGTTAACACCACTGTGTATGCAGCGTTTCGGGAGGAATTACATTTTTCTTCCAGTGTTTTCTGTAAACACGACCTGTTAGCTGCATCTCTATGGCGCTTGACTTTCGGCAAGAAAAATATTTTTAGTGTCTTGAGTCATCAACATTTAAGCAAACTATGTTATTTGTTTATCATTTCTGGGAATTCAGAACACCAAGTACCCACTTCCAGCCTTTTCCATCCATCTTTTATCTCTTCATACACTGTTAAAATGGAGTATATACAATCTCCTCCCTGTCTTATTTCAGAGCTCCTAGTCCAAGTACAGTTCCAAGGCCACTAATATTAGGGACTGCTAAGTAGTCACACGCTAGTACAGTCTGCACATGGCAACAGTTTGACTGCCCTGTATTTTACAAAAGAGAATATTTCACCCAGGTGACAAGGTGAAACATTATGAGTTGTTATTGTCTATTCGACTTTAGGGCGCTTTAGTTGTTAACTTTATTAAATGCAGGCAAATTGTTTATTTCTTTTAT